TCCTTGCAGAGTTATAGGAAAATACTCTGCCATTGTTAGTGTAAAAGGGGCAATATTGCTCCCTTTGCCTTCTGACACCCCATTTAGTTTTCTCTCCCAGAGAACATGTACATTTCTCTCTTATTGGACATCTTGCTAATTTATTCTCATGTCTATTTTAAGTGTTAGACCAAAAATTCAGTTACCACTTCTCGTGTTGCAGCATACAGAGTTATAGGAAAATACTCTGCCATTGTTAGTGTAAAAGGGGCAATATTGCTCCCTTTGCCTTCTGACACCCCATTTAGTTTTCTCTCCCAGAGAACATGTACATTTCTCTCTTATTGGACATCTTGCTAATTTATTCTCATGTCTATTTTAAGTGTTAGACCAAAAATTCAGTTACCACTTCTCGTGTTGCAGCATAAATGGCAATTTCCTTGTTGGTTTTTTTTTTTTTATTGCCCAAAAGGACTTTGACCTCCCAAGATGAAAATGATAAGCACATTATATAGTTTATGGATTGCCCTCAAAGGCTTATTCCAGTTCTCAGGGAAGCTTTTGTCAAGAAAACTAACATATATAATATGACAAATTAAATTAATCTTTATAAGTATTCTATATGAGAAACAACCATCTGGTTTTGCCTTCAGTGGGATATTTTTCCTGCAGTGCTCATGGCTCTTTCTAGATTTCTGGTTTTTGCTGTGATCTGGGGTACATTCACCTGTCTTGATGCACAAAGTAAGTAGTGTTGTTTTTATCAATGCCTGTGAGTATTTTCCTGCTTTTATTGAAATGTAACAAAATTAACTTGATTGAATTCATACAAATCATAACCTTAGAAATTTGAAATACATTGACCCATTGCCTGATAAAATAACATGTAAACAAGCAATCTTAGTACCCATGGAAGTGTTCTGTGCACTTTCAGGGACTCAGTGATGACAAGTTGAAAACCATGGTCTTGTTTATACAAGGGTTTTTTACAAGCTTGCTTTGAACTTTTTTGGGGGGGGTTTTGTTGAGGCTGAAGTTGAGTCTGAGGATGTACAGTGTTGAAGTTGGCATCAGTTGAATTCCTTGCTGCTGTTACATCATTGCTACATCTGGTATTCATAGTGGTAAGGACTCCCTTAAAAGTCGTCTGGTGTATTGAGGCTTTAAGAAAGTGAAAACCTTTTTCAATAGTCCAGAGCCCAGGCTTTGGAATGCTCAGAGACAGAGGCATGGAATTAACCCCATAACCAGCAGCTGCTGACTGCAGAAGTATTCTCTAGGGTTTTATTCAGTTACTTGTGTAGAAATCTGTCTACTGATCACTTACAAATGAGATCCTTTAGAGTGATGCAGATATGAAGGCATTTGCCAACCCTTTGAATATATGGTGAGGATGACAAGAGTGGGAACATTCTTAGTGTTGGTGAAAACCCACATAAGACCACAAAAATTGTACAAGTATCCATAAGAACACAGAATGCACTCTGGCAGCTTTGCTGTTCAATTCTAGTCAGGGGAGAGTGAAAAAATGTAGCAGATTTCCAGATTTTCTGTGTGTAGTTTGCAGATCTACAGGAGACAAGTCTGTCACTTTTATCACAATGAAGGTATAAAGAGACATGACTGAGGTACAATAACCCACTTAAGAAAGTAATTTCTTATTAAAAACACACTGTACTTCCAAGGTGCCACCTTCTCTAAAAGTTTAAGGAGCATAAATTTCAGGTAAATCTGTCAATGTGCCTTCACCCTAAGCTCCTGGATTCTTGCTGGCGTTCCTATGGGGAGTAGCTTTGTATTTATTGTTTTCTTGGGAGTAGAAAACATTTGCAAGGCCAAGGTACAACAGTAGTATCGGTTATGATTTCCACAAACGGTTCA